GTGATGAACGAACCCAGCCCCAAGCAGAGATTTAGGCCCGAGGATAATATTATGGTGTGGGGCTGTCTTTCAGGACTCAGTCCACATTGGTTAGCTTTCACTTTAATGCTTCAGAGTATTGAGATATTTTAGACACTTTTTTTGCTCCTAACTTTGTTTGAACAGTTAGATAGATCCTTCGTGTTCTAATATGACTGCTCACAAGTGAACAGGACAAACTCTACTGTTGAAAAACATGGATAAGTGCTTGATCAGGCACACACGCCCAATCCAGCTATTAAACCTGCAAGCCACATCATCCTGGCATACATCCGTGTCTGATCTCCGCTACTCATCTTTAGGAAGAATTCCCAGAAATCTCCTTGAGCACAGCCCGAAATGTTTTTATTTTTATTTATTTTTTTTAACAAAAGTTGAAGATAGAGGATGACATCACCTAAAACTGAATGACTAAACATGGGATACCACCCAGGTTCCTATGAGCAAGTCTTGACGAATACGGAATATCACTGTAGCTATTGAGCAGAAATTGGATTAATGCATCCAAAGGAAATAAAAGATCATGTTCAAGTTAGTTATACTTAATTTCCCAAAGTTTGTTGAGACCACAATTAGGCTTTGAATTAAAAAGGTTTCACAGCTCAGTAAATAAAGCCAACCATGGCAAACTTCTCCCCTGGCAAACTTCTGCTTTTACCTGCACCTTAGATTTATGGCGAAGGAGAAAATAATATGGACTCCCTGATCTGTTGGAGTCTTAATCTTTGCGTTATTCTGTTATATAACTAAATGTCTCTTTTCCAGCACATCCCACTGATGAACAGAGGGCAGCTAATTGATGATGCATTCAACTTGGCCAGGTAATGATTTTTTGACACTATTATTTCAAATGTTGTTATCAGTGGCAGGTGTTGAAAAAATAATGAAATAATAAATACTTACATTAACAAAAAGGAACTCCGATAGCCAAATAACTTCTGCTCTGGAGCTAAAGGTTTCAGGCCACTGATCTAGAAGAGAGCTATGATTTCATTGCAATTAAATCCAAAGATGATATGCCTTGATTTAAAAACCATTATTAAAGAATTAGAGTTTTACAGAAAACTTGTTCAATTAAAACTCTAAAGTTAAACACTGAAATTGGTCCAACAGGTCAATCAGTTCTGGTTCCTGTTCAGCACATATCAGCACCATAAATTGTTTTCGTTTTTATTATATTGTCAGTACAGAGGCCAAAATAGAGGCCACAACCATTTCTATAGGGACACTGGCCCCTGTTGGCCCCCATCTAGTGGGGACTCATCAATTCAAAAGAAAGTAGGGTTTTAAAGCTGCCTCTATCAATCTGTTTTCCTCAGAGCAAAGCTGGTGAATGTGACTCTGCCTCTGGAAATGACCCGGTTCCTCCGTAAGGAGAAAGCTTTCCTCCCATGGGAGTCAGCGATCAGGAATCTGGAGTACTTAGTCCTCATGTTTGATCGCTCTGAGGTTTATGGACCCATGCAGGTAAATGCCAAAAAATATTGTCAATTAACATTATGAAACACTATCTTACTTTATTATGTCAACCTCTCTGTTCCTTCCTTCAGAGCTACCTGCGGCATCAAGTAGAGGAGCTTTACAACCACTTCAAAAACCACACAGATAATTCCACCGTCCCCGAGGATCACTCCTCACAGTAAGCTTTATTTCACTTGATCCGGAGCTGGGAAACAACCTGATTTAAGTAGAGGAACTGTTT